CACACCGCAACGAATCGGCGACCATCGACCTTCAACATGCGAAGAACAAACGATTTCTTTGGGATCTTAAGGTTAGATGTTCTTCTTACATGAAAACGTGTTCAACGTCCAGATTTTTGAAAAAGTTTTGATATTGTTGTTAGAAAACGTGTTCTTCTCGCAACACTATCTTAATTTTTTTTTAAGTTTTCAGAGTTCTGTTGTTCGATGAGAAAAACTCAAAGAGGATTTAGGTCTAGGGTTTTTTCTTTTTAGGTTATTGTAATAGATTTCTCAATTTTAGGTTGTAATAGATTTCCTTTTATGTTACTGATAATGTGGTTATTTGGTTTTGGATTTTATCAGGTTGAGTTCATTATTGCTGAAACTATGGCATCACCAAGAAATCTAAATGAAACTGATGTAAGTTTTTTCTGCTTTTATTGATTTTGTTATTCTGGTTGGAATGTTGGATCTTATTTATAAGTGAAATTAATTAAGTTTTTTCGTGAATTTAAGGTACGAACGAGGCATAGTTGTATTCCAGTGAATTTGAGCATCATCAATGGAAAGTTAACACCAGGCCAACGAGCTCACATCGAATGCACCCCATTCAAATGGGCAATGAATATTTCTAACAACTTTTTATTATGAGAATTAGTAAGTAGGTGGGACGTACGAAGTAGGGGATTTAGGGTTAGGGATAAGATAGTTCCCTTTACTCCGGTTGATGTTTGTTTTGCGCTTGGATTATCTATTGTTGGTAAGTTTATAGTATTAAAAGAAAACCAACAAAGTCAAACATTATATCTATTTAAAGGGGCTGATGTAACCATTCACAATATTCGCAAACAACTTCATTACCAAAATAAAAAATTAGTTAATTTTGTTTTACATATTACTTGCATTTGCAGAGTTTTACTTTCCCAAAATAGGGAATAAGGTCTTTACCGGATTTATTAAGCAATTGGATGATCTTGACTCACTTGATACATTTAGTTGGGGACTTGTTGTTTATAACTTTATAGTTTCTAGTTTAAGTGAGTCTTCAGTTGTGTTGGAGGAGGGAAAAAATAAGGCACAAAGACATTTAAACGGGTGTGCTGCCATATTGCAGGTAAATCTTCCTATATAACTTTATAGTTTTATCATGTGTTTTGAATATTAAAAGTTTTGAAATTTACATCTTGTAATATTTGTTATAGATTTGAGCATTCAACCACTTATATTTGGGGAAAACACCTGCTGTTACTACGTTTTCGTTTCCACGTGTATTGAATTGGCCAGTTATAACTATGCAGAAGAAAAACATTGAAAAAGTGTTTGACAAAAATATGGTAAGATTTTATGTGTCTGATTTGAGGAAAATAGTTTTTCTGTTGTCGTGTGTTTGAATTGATTATTTTTTTTGTTAGATAATTAATAAAGTGGTTGCAACAGAGAAGGAACTAAATTATAACATAGTCAATGCTGGCTTGTTTGAACAAGGACAACAATTTGGGAATGTGTATGATTATCAAAGATTGGTGGATGACAATAAAGATTTCAAGGAGAGGATAACAACTCTTGAGGAGGAAGTGAGGATGATGAAAGAGGCAAGTTAACACTCCATTTCAGGATGAGGATGTTCAAGATGATCGACAGCTTATTAACTTTGTCACTGAAGATGCAGTAGAGACTTCGGCTGGAGATGTTGGACATAATACTCCACTTAATGATGATGATGCCATTGTTGAAGAAAACCTATCAAAGTCTAAATCTAACATTGCTAAAAGAATGAGGAAGAAACCAAGGAAGCGTGTAAAAAGAACTAGAATGAATTTGTAATGCATTAAATTTGATAAATATGTATGGTAGAATTATGATGTGTTGTAGTGTAGAATTTGACACAATTTTAACGTTTGGTACAATTGTAGAATTTGTAGTTCATCTTGTATTTAAAGTGTTAATGTGTTGAATATTTTGAAGTATCATTTGGTTCCCTTATTTGGAAGTCTGAAATTGCATTATTGTTTATTGTGCTATTGTGTTTATGTTCATCATTTGGTTCCCTTATTTTGAAGTCTGAAAAGGCGTTAACCAAGTTTGGTTTTGAAGTTTGGTTTCAACAATGTATTAACCAAGTCTGTGACAAAATAATTTCCCTTGCTTTGAAGTTTGGGACTGCGTTAACCAAGTTCCAGCAATTTATTAACCAAGTCTGGGACAATGTATTAACCAATTTTGGGACAAAACAATTTTCCTTGTTTTGAAGTCTGAGACTGCGTTAACCAAGTTTGACAATGTATTAACCAAGTTCCAGCAATGTATTAACCAAGTGTGGGACAATGTATTAACCAAGTCTGGGACAAAACAATTTCCCTTGTTTTGAAGTCTCGGACTGCGTTAACCAAGTTTGACAATGTATTAACCAAGTTCCAGCAATGTATTAACCATGTCTGAGACAATGTATTAACCAAGTCTGGCACAACACAATTTCCCTTATTTTGAAGTCTGGGACTGCGTTAACCAAGTTTGACAATATATTACCCAAGTTCCAACAATGTATTAACCAAGTCTGGGACTGTATTAACAAAATAATTTTATATATTATATACACAAACAAAGTTTAGTACAATTGTTATAATGACAAATGTAAATTTACAATCTTGCAACATTTACACTCCAAACGTATATTTACAATCTTGCAACATTGAACTTGAATATTCCATCTGCATCACCAAATGTAACTATTGTTAGTGTATGCAATGTTTTGAACAAAATTAAAAAATATTTTTAAAACCATACCATCATGTCAGATTAACCAAAATAGAATAGATATGTGACAGCCTTCCCAAAATACACATGCCACTAGTCAATAAGCAAAAATTCCCAAAGATCATCATAAATTTCTACAAACTTGGGATGAACCTGTCAAGGGTGTTTCGAATGTTGTCAAAAGATCCATGAATGACATACAAGTTCCAACCTATACAATAACATACAAAAAATCTAAAATATGACGTGTATAAAATCAAATACATAATAAATTGGTATTACAATGATTACACATAATTTATCTGCAGCAACTACATATGTTTTCCGCAACCCGTACATGCAAATTCTTCAAATTTAAAACACAACAAATTCCTCAAATAGTACATATGCTTTCAAACATTATTTAATACAGTTTTATAACTAACACACACCATAATAGTCGAATCTACACAATTTCCTCCACTAACAACCTCAAGAGCTGATTCTACGCAAACATTACTTCCAAATTGATTTCCCACCATTCCAATGTTGCACTCCTATAGTTAGAGAAACGAAATATTTAAATTCCATATACATAACCATTCGTATAAGATATCATTTATGCATGAAAATAGACATACCGTAGTAAGCTTAATGTGATCATTTTTTTTGTTCGCTTCCATGACCTCTTAGTAATCGTTTCAGCGACAGATGTCTTTCTTTTAGATGGAGGATGGCATTTTCGCTTGACATGTTTTGGACTGCGAATTCTATTACTATTGATTGCATTAGAATCCTCATCACCATTTTATTCAATAAGTGCACTATCTTTTGCGGACATATTAGAGCTAAACAAACGTAATGTTTCATGGAGGTCTTCGGTAGTCTCTTTCGACTCAGCAGCTACTTCAGCAACCTCTTAAAAATGCTTGCATAATTTGTCAAACTTGTCCATTTGTGGCTTCAGCTCCGTTACACCATTACTAGTCTTGATATATGAATGCTTCCTTTTAATGTTTTTCTTCCATCTTGATAAAACATACTTCTCTGGAAGACTTATAATCCTCTCCTGACTACACACGGATAACACATGCCGACATACAATACCTCGAAACTCAAATAATGAGCATTCACATTTTAAATCTTGGTTTTCCTTATTAAGCACAATATTTAAGACTCGCTCTTTGTGTAAGTCTCCAACTAGTATCTCCTCTAACACATGATACGTAGTAAGGCAACCTTCCACACTATTTAATGAGGCAGAACAATTCATCTTAGATCTGAATTCCACTTGAATTTCCTTAAATTTGGCATTAGTAAACTCACTTTGGTATTGCTTCTCAATGGACGAGTTTGACCCACATGGAATTATTGTGTCCATCGAATTAAAATCAGCTTCAAATTCCTTTTCTGCGCGACTTCTAAGAGCATTATCATATTGTTTCACAAACTAATTTAGACTTGTTGTAGAATTGATATATCCATAAAAGAAAGCATGTATGCTCTCACTATGTTGGTGCCCATCTATGACGCTCAGTATACAACCCGCCCAACCAATCATTTTCATGGAGGTCAAACTTTTCTATGAACGAACACCATTTTTGTTCAAAGCTATTTATTGTGAATGTATCATACACTGCTTTCATTGCATACTTGTACCTTTTATATTCCCCATATCCGCTAAGCTTTTCTGGAACTTTTTTCATTATATGCCATAAACACCACCTATGACGAGTTGTAGGGAATACTAACTCAATAGCATTTTTCATAGCCTTACACTGATCGGCCACAATGCCCAAAGATCCTTTTTCTAGCATACAGTGAAGCCATGACTTGAACAGCCACACAAAAGAATCTGTGTCTTCACCCGATAGCAATCCACAACCAAGTAATGTTGATTGACCATGGTGATTCACACTCACAAATGCAGAAAAAGGCATGTCATACTTGTTAGTCAAGTATGTTGTGTCAAAAGTTACAAGGTCTCCAAAGTATTCGTACGCGGCTCTGCTTCTTGCATCTGCCCAAAATACATTCCTCATATGAAAATCACCATCTAATTCTATGTCATAAAATAAATTTGTATTTTGTTCCCGCATTTTACAAAAATAACTTATCAAAGCCTTACCATCACCTTCTTTTCCAATCGCACGATGTTCTTTGTTAATATAATTCCTCACATCTTTTTCACAAAAGGGAATATTTTCATGCCCTCCTACATCTTTAACAAGCGATTGAAAATTCTTGTTGATCCTTACTCCCGCATCATCATTGATTTGAATTGTTCATCTTACATGTAAGTTCATTTTCTTGTTAGCCTTGAACAATCTTGCTTTTGTAAGACTAGTCTCATGAGAATGGTTTGCCTCAAATTGTGTAATGTACCACAAACCATCTTGTTTTGATTTAATACAAATCTTGGCAGGACAATTTTTCGCTCTAGATGGAAGTCTCTTCAACGTGCATGAAATTTTTGAAATGTTAGACCCCTCTCTTGAACATGAAAGTATCAGGTAATTGAGCTCCCCGTCGTCTCCTTTTTTTGATGATGTAATCCTCCATCCAAACCCTTTTTTCAAAGCATACTCTTGATAATATGTTTTAACTTCCTCTAAACATGAAAAAGACATCCCAATTGCAGGAACCCAAAGTGATTCATCACCATCGCCGTGATCAACTTCTACATCTTCCCTTTGATTACTGTCACATTCTATCAAAATGCTTGAACTGTCCATTATGACTTAAAAACTGCACATAAATGTCAATATTATGTATAGTATAAATTTATAACAATGTTGGTTAATATAGTTCAAAATTATGGTTAATATTGTCTATAACTTGGTTAATGAACGCCCAGACATGTGGGCAGGTTTATAACATGTTTATTATGAAGTTGGTTAGTGGTGTGACAAAAGTTGGGTAATACATTTCCCAAATTGGTTAACAAAATCAGCATGAGTAAATATATACAATCGTTTAGCAGTAGGTAAACATGGTTAATGGTGTGAGTAAAGTAGGGAAATAATTTTTAGAACATGGTTAATGAATAATCATGAATAAACATGAAATCAATAACATTAAAGAAAACTAGGTTAACATTGTGCTAAATTTAAAAACATATGAACAATCATAAATCTAGAAACTTATTGAGTTAAATCTTCATCTTCATAATATAATGATGCTAAATAAAGAAAAATTGAAGATGAAATGAAAAGAAAAGTTAAAGATGAAATGAAGAGACAAGTTGGAGAAGAGCTGCTACGAAATGGCGTGAATGATCAAGAACAAGAAGAAGAATGAGTTAGCCATATTTTATGTTTATGTTATAAAGTACAACATGTGGTTGAGGTTAAGAGAGAGAAACAATAAATTTCTTCATTTAACTATGACCCATAGAAGAAAATGATGTTTCATGGCAAGCTTATACTCTTTGTTATTTTTTTAAATATATTTGCATTATTCATACGGTGTAGGTGTACACCTTGGTGTAAGAATAACAAAACTGTTGTGATTGTGATTAGAAACAAGACCAGTTTTGCTATTCTTACACTGGTGTGTACACCTACACCGTATGAATAGTGCATGCCAAATATATTAAAAAAATAATAACACAAAAACTAGCAGCATGGCATTTCTGTTGTGGCCCAGGGTGCAATACAAAAATAACAAGTTTGCCATTTTCTGTGGGCCATAGTGAAATGTCAATTAAATGGATTTATTGTTTCTCTCTCTCTTAACCTCATTCTTCTTCTTGAAGATACACGACATTTCCTTTATTCTCCAACCTGTCTCTTCATTTCATCTACAATTTTTCTTTTCATTTCATCTTCATCTTTTCTTTGTTTAACATCATTAAGTTATGAAGATGAAGATTTAACTCAGTAAGTTTCTGGATTCATGATTGTTCAAATGTTTTTAGATTTAACAAAATGTTAACCTAGTTTTCTTTACTGTTATTGATGTCATGTTTATTCACGACTATTCATTAACCATGTTCTAAAAAATATTGTCCTACTTTACTCACACCATTAACCATGTTTACCTACTGCTAAACAATGTTATAAACCTTCCCACATGTCTGGGCGTTCATTAACCAAGTTATAGACAATATTAATCATAACTTTGAACTATATTAACCAACATTGTTATAAAATTCTATTATACATAATATTGACATTTATGTGCAGTTTTTAAGTCATAATGGACAGTTCAAGCATTTTGATAGAAGGTGATAGTAATCAAAGGGAAGATGTAGAAGTTGATCACGACGATGGTGATGAATCACTTTGGGTTCCTGTAATTGGAATGTGTTTTACATGTTTAGAGGAAGTTAAAACATATTATCAAGAGTATGCTTTGAAAAAGGGGTTTGGATGGAGGATTAGATCATCCAAAAAAGGAGACGACGGGGAGCTCCATTAGCTTATACTTTCATGTTCAAGAGAGGGGTCTAACATTTCAAAAATTTCATGCACGTTGAAGACACTTCCATCTAGAACGAAAAATTGTCCTGCCAAGATTTGTATTAAATTAAAATAAGATGGTTTGTGGTACATTACACAATTTGAAGAAAACCATTCTCATGAGACTAGTCCTACAAAAGCAAGATTGTTCAAGGCTAACAAGAAAATGAACTTACACGTACGAAGAACAATTCAAATCAATGATGATGCGGGAGTAAGGATCAACAAGACTTTTTAATCGCTTATTAAAGATGCAGGAGGGCATGAAAATATTCCCTTTTGTGAAAAGATGTGAGGAATTATATTAACAAAGAGCATCGTGCGATTGGAAAAGAAGGTGATGGTAAGGCTTTGATAAGTTATTTTTGTAAAATGCGGGAACAGAATACAAATTTCTTTTATGACATAGATTTAAATGATGATTTTCATGTGAGGAATGTATTTTGGGCGGATGCAAGAAGCAGAGCCGCGTACGAATACTTTGGAGACGTTGTAACTTTTGACACAACATACTTGACTAACAAGTATGACATGCCTTTTTCTGCATTTGTGAGTGTGAATCACCATGGTCAATCAACATTACTTGGTTGTGGATTGCTATCGGGTGAAGACACAGATTCTTTTGTGTGGCTGTTCAAGTCATGGCTTCGTTGTATGCTAGAAAAAGGACCTTTGGGCATTGTGACCGATCAGTGTAAGGCTATGAAAAATGCTATTGAGTTAGTATTCCCTACAACTCGTCATAGGTGGTGTTTATGGCATATAATGAAAAAAGTTCCAGAAAAGCTTAGCGGATATGGGGAATATAAAAGGATCAAGTATGCAATGAAAGAAGCAGTGTATGATACATTCACAACAAATAGCTTTGAACAAAAATGGTGTTCATTCATAGAAAAATTTGACCTCCATGAAAATGATTGGTTGGGTGGGTTGTATACTGAGCGTCATAGATGGGCAACAACATTGTTAAGGAAATATTTTTGGGCCGGTATGTCAACTACACAACGTAGTGAGAGCATACATGCTTTCTTTGATGGATATATCAATTCTACAACAACTCTAAATCAGTTTGTGAAACAATATGATAATGCTCTTAGAAGTCGGGCAGAAAAGGAATTTGAAGCTTATTTTAATTCGATGGACACAATAATTCCATGTGGGTCAAACTCGTCCATTGAGAAGCAATTCCAAAGTGAGTTTACTAATGCCAAATTCAAGGAAATTCAAGTGGAATTCAGATCTAAGATGAATTGTTCTGCCTCATTAAATAGTGTGGAAGGTTGCATTACTACGTATCATGTGTTAGAGGAGATACTAGTTGGAGACTTACGCAAAGAGCGAGTCTTAAAAGTTGTGCTTAATAAGGAAAACCATGATTTCAAATGTGAATCCTCATTATTAGAGTTTCGAGGTATTGTATGTCGGCATGTGTTATCCGTGTGTAGTCAGGAGAGGATTATAAGTCTTCCAAAGAAGTATGTTTTATCGAGATGGAAGAAAAACATTAAAAGGAAGCATTCATATATCAAGACTAGTTATGGTGTAACGGAGCTGAAGCCACAAATGGACAGGTTTGACAAATTATGCAAGCATTTTTATGAGGTTGCTGAAGTAGCTGCTGAGTCGGAAGAGACTACCGAAGACCTCCATGAAACATTACGTTTGTTTAGCTCTAATATGTCCACAAAGGATAATGCAATTATTGAAAAAATGGCGATGAGGATTTTAATGCAATCAATAGTAATAGAATTCGCAGTCCAAAACATGTCAAGCGAAAAGGTCGTCCTCCATCTAAAAGAAAGACATCTGTCACTGAAACGATTACTAAGAGGTCAAAGAAGCGAACAAAAAAAATGATCACATTGAGGTTACTACGGTATGTCTATTGTCATGCATAAATGATATCTTATACGAATTTTTATGTATATGGAATCTAAATATTTTGTTTCTCTAACTGTAGGAGTGCAACATTGGAATGGTGGGAAATCAATTTGGAAGTAATGTTTGCGTAGAATCATCTCTTGAGGTTGTTAGTGGAGGAAATTGTGTAGATTCGACTATTGTGGTGTGTGTCCCTTATAAAATTGTATTACATAATGTTTGAAAGCATATGTATGCACTATTTGAGGAATTTGTTGTGTTTTAAATTTGAGGAATTTGTATGTACAAGTTGCGGAAAACATATGTACTTGTTGCGGATAAATTATATGTAATCATTGTAATACCAATTTATTATGTATTTGATTTTATACACGTCATATTTTAGATTTTTTGTATGTTATTGTACAGGTTAGAACTTGTATGTCATTCATGGATCTTTTGACAACATGTGAAACACCCTTGACGGGTTCATCCCAAGTTTGTACAAATTTGACATGATTAGTGGCATGTGTATTTTGGGAAGACTGTCGCATATATATATATATATATATATATATATATATATATATATATATATATATATATATATATATATATATATATATATATATATATATATATATATATATATATATATATATATATATATATATATATATATATATATATATATATATATATATATATATATATATATATATATATATATATATATATATATATATATATATATATATATATATATATATTCTATTTTGGTTAATTTGACATGATGGTATGGTTTTTAAAATATTTTTTAATCTTGTTCAAAACATTGCATACACTAATAATAGTTAAATTTGGTGGTGCAAGTGGAATATTCAAGTTCAATGTTGCAAGATTGTAAATATACTTTTGGAGTGTAAATGTTGCAAGATTGTAAATTTAGTTTTGTCATTATAACAATTGTACTAAACTTTGTTGGTATATATAATATATAAAATTATTTTGTTAATACTGTCCCAGACTTGGTTAATACATTGCTGGAATTTGGTTAATACATTGTCTTAGACTTGGTTAATACATTGCTGGAACTTGGTTAATACATTGTAAAACTTGGTTAACGCAGACCTAGACTTCAAAAAAAGGGAAATTATTTTGTCTCAAACTTGGTTAATACATTGTCCCAGACTTGGTTAATACATTGCTGGAACTTGGTTAATACAATGTAAAACTTGGTTAACGCAGACCCAGACTTCAAAAAAAGGGAAATTATTTTGTCTCAAACTTGGTTAATACATTGTCCCAGACTTGGTTAATACATTGCTGTAACTTGGTTAATACAATGTAAAACTTGGTTAACGCAGACCCAGACTTCAAAAAAAGGGAAATTATTTTGTCTCAAACTTGGTTAATACATTGTCCCAGACTTGGTTAATACATTGCTGGAACTTGGTTAATACAATGTAAAACTTGGTTAACACAGACCCAGACTTCAAAAAAAAAGGGAAATTATTTTGTCCCATACTTGGTTAATACTTTATCCCAGACTTGGTTAATACATTGCTGGAACTTGGTTAATACAATGTCAAACTTGGTTAACGCAGTCCCAGACTTCAAAACAAGGGAAACTATTTTGTCCCAGACTTGGTTAATACATTGCTGAAACTTATTTTATCACAGACTTTCTTAATACATTGTTGGAACCAAACTTCAAAACCAAACTTAGTTAATGCCTATTCAGACTTCAAAACAAGGGAACCAAATGATGAACATAAACACAATAACACAATAATGCAATTTCAGACTTTCAAAAAAGGGAACCAAATGATACTTCAAAATATTCAAAACATTAACAACTTAAATCCAAAATGAACTACAACATATCATAATTGTACCAAACGTTAAAATTGTGTCAAATTCTACACTACAACACATCATAATTCTACCACACATATTTATCAAATTTCTACAACACTAATGCATTACAAATTCATTCTAGTTCTTTTTCCACGCTTCCTTGGTTTCTTCCTCATTCTTGTAGCAACGTTAGATTTAGACTTTGATAGGTTTTCTTCAACCATGGAATCAACATCATTAAGTGGAGTGTTATGTCCAATATCTCCAGCCGAAGTCTCTACTGCATCTTCAGTGACAAAGTTAATAAGCTGTCGATCATCTCGAACATCCTCATTCTGAAATGGAGTGTTAACTCTTGCCTCTTTCATCATCCTCACTTCCTCCTCAAGAGCTGCTATCCTCTCCTTGAAATCTTTATTGTCATCCACCAATCTTTGATAATCATACACATTCTCAAATTTTTGTCCATGTTCAAACAGAGCAGCATTGACTATGTCATAATTCAGTTCCTTCTCTGTTGCAACCACTCTGTCAATTATCTAACAAAAAAACAATCAATTCAAACACACGACAATAGAAAAGCTATTTTCCTCAAATCGAACACATAAAATCTTACCATATTTTTGTCAAACGCTTTTTCAATATTTTTCTTCTTCATAGTTATAACTGGCCAATTCAAAACACGTGGAAACGAAAACGTAGCAACAGTAGGTACTTTCCCCAAAGATAAGTGGTTGAATGCCCAAATCTATAATAAATATTACAATATGTGAATTTCATAACTTTTAATATTCAAAACACATGATGAAACTATAGAGTTATATATGAAGATTTACCTGCAATATGGCAACACACCAGTTTAAATGTCTTTGTGCCTTGTTTTCCCCTCCTTCAACACAACTGAAGACTCACATAAACTAGAAACTATAAAGTTATAAACAGCAAATCCCCAACTAAATGTATCAAGTGAGTCAAGATTATCCAATTGTTTAATAAATCCGGTAAATACCTTATTCCCTGTTTTGGGAAAGTAAAACTCCGCAAATGCGAGTAATATGTAAAGTCTAACAAAATTAACTAATTTTTTCTTTTGGTAACGAAGTTGTTTGCGAATATTGTGAACAGTTACCTCAGCCCCTTTAAAAAGATCTAATGTTTGACTTTGTTGGTTTTCTTATACTACTAGGGACTTACCAACAATAGATAATCCAAGCGCAAAACAAACATCAACCGGGGTAA